TTTAAAATTTCCATCCTGCTATCACCCTTTCCCTTTTCTGCTCTGCCTTTAGCTTTTTATTCCTTGGCTATCTTAGATTAGGTTCACTAAGGATACTTTTAGATGAACTTAGCATCACATGATTTGTTGAGGGAATTCTCTAAATTGCGGTGACTGAGAAGTCCCATTCCCTTTTCCGACTTCAGAGTTAAAACTGGACCAGAAAGTACCAAGCCCTAACAGATCATTTGAGTTCCAAACACACACACTCTGCTATGCTCCCATCATGTAGCAGCAAGCTTATTTCCTCCTGATGGCCAAAATTAATTACTCCTGCCAGTATCATGACTCTTTTTTGCTGCTTACAAGTCTACTGATATAAGGGGCCCAAACCAACTAACTTAAAATTTAGTGGAACTCTTACTGTGACCCCAGAACCTTTTAGACAGACAGAGCTCTAATAGTCTAGGTTTCTTCAGACTTTGCTATTTTATATTTCTGTTGAGTGCTTGAAATATAGCACTTGAGTATTTTTTGAAAGAGTGAAGAAATACTGCCTAGCTCATCAGATGTGTTTATATCCTGGCTGACTTGCTTTCCCATTCTTCTGAAGAAAAAAAAAAAGTCCTTCGAATTCAAGTTCTCTGAATTTTGACAAGTTTCAGTGACCAGCTACCTCACCTGTCTGTGACTGCACACCCCTATGTATCATTCATCTGCTTGATTATTGTCACATGGTGGCTTCTGTGGAAAGTCACACTGGAACTTCTATCCTTGTCTACTGCTAAGATTTACCCCCATATTCAGCTACCTTAATTGTCCACTAGGTTCTAGGCCTAGGCATTTTCACAGAGTGGTCATTCTCATTGCTTATTGAGACCAGATCCTAATAGGAAGTCTATGAACAAAGGTGAGAAATTTTCAGACTTGTTCAGGGATTGTCCAAGAATTAAGTTCAACTCAGGAGCATATTTCAGGTGAGTCACTGAGCACGTCCTCTCTGCCAAGCACTAGGCATCAGACTGTCCCTTCCACTTCTGTATTCCACATTCTGTATTTCCTGACTTGCTGTAGCTTTTGAGATGCCTCCTATTTAGACAATTTCACTCAAAGGATGTCATATCCATCAAGAGTGATCAATCATATTCATCAAGACTGGCCCTTATTTCTTGGTAAATTTTGTTGCTCTCCCCCTTTAAAGTTGGATTAAATTAGTGTCAGTCAGGGTACCCAGCAGCAGAACTTCTTGGGAAAGATGGTGGTTGCCATTGGCATTCAGTTGTATATTGTCAACTTCTAGTAGGTTTCAGCTGAGTGGAAATGACACTTCAGAGCAGGTAAGGGAGGGGGGAGCATCAGTGTGTGGTTTGCCTCCAAGGATTCCCTAATGTTGTTGTCAAATTTGGCCATGTGTTTAACTGTTCTGAATGTGCTCAACTATACTAGACAGGTAAGGAAAAATATCCATTATTAAAGAAGTGATAAAAAGCTAAATACTGGGGCCAAGATGGATATGCTTCAGATGAGAACATTTTATTTTCCCTTTATTTCTATAAAATAAAAGTAGACAATTGCTTTTTTGGCCCACGGCACTCCCAAGGGTCATTCTCTGGCCATTGAAACGATAATATAGCTTATTTAAGTATGGAAAATTGTCACAAATAAGATATCTCATGGTCAACTATCTTCGAACTTCATGCCTCACTCCAACTCACAAGTCTTAACTAAATGTCACATGTAGCATTGATATTTTTCACTTTTGAAGTTGCCTCCTCCTTTTTAACTCTGACCCCTGGATAGTGTTGTCTTCTTACTGGAATTCACACATAGCGCATCAGATTCATGTTGAAACTACTTTCATCAATTAATCCTATACAATGTGTTTCCCTTTCATGCTTGTCACACTTCTACTATGGAACTAAAATTCAACACCTATGATATGCTTAGAAACAAATATTGTTGCTAATTGTTACCACTTCTTTGAACTGTATCTCCATCTCTTTCAATATTAACCACAATATTTTATCACAGATGTGCTATTTTGCTATCTGTCTGCACTTCTTTTGTCTAGTAGATGTTATATACACAGTGAAAATAGAAAGATTTTTCAATGCAGATAGATCTTAACTGGTGTTTTACCCCTCACACATAATATGTGGGTGTCTTGGGCCAATTCACCTATGTGCCAGAATCTCATTTCCCTCATTGGTAAGACAGAAATAAGTATGTCTATCTTCAGGGTGCATTGTGGGCGTTCAATGAGAATGTGTGGGAAAAGAGTAAGTAATTATAGGTTCTTCATAGGTTTGGGTTTTCTTTCTTTCCCCACTCATACCTACCTTTCCTAGTGAATAAAGAGATTATGAAGACAATTGTATGTAGGCAATTTGGTTAAATATAAGACTGTTGTGGGGGACAATGTTGTAATATGGTTACTTTTCCAATGTAAGGAATGTTGGCTTATTTACTGAAAACATTTTTCCTAGATGATTTATGTACTCTTTCTTTTCACTTCTAAACAAGATGTTGCTTTTTTTTCTGGATTAGATTATTGGCAGGTAAAGCTTTGAGCTGGCTCTGGAGGCAGGCTGCAGCATCAGGGGAGTGGCAAACTTTTTTACTTTCTCCATTAAAAACCATGAACAAGAACTAGAAAACTGATAAACCCCATAAATAATTTTTTTAGCTGATTCTTTTTCTAGGAAACTTGATATTTGTGTGTGTTGTTTCATTTGGGTCCATTCCCCAGATCGATGATTTTTTTTTTTTTTCAGAAAACTTTTTAAAGCTTAATGTAGCGTTTTCTATTTCACCAATCCAGCACTATTGTCTTCCAAATTAGAACGTTTCAATCTGGTTCAGTAACTCTTGCTGAAAATTGTGCAAATTTCAGCAATATCCTCTGACTTTTTGCCCAGAATGTGTAAGATTATTATTATTAATTATTTATAGAGACTTAGAGTTAGAAAGAATACTTTAAAAACAGCACTTTATAAAGATGGCACAGAATAACAATTTCAACCACAAAAAATGTGCAAAATAATTCATAGACACAATGTGAAATAATATTTAACAGCATTATAAATCAATAACTATTGTACTGACATTTATGTGCCCAAATTGTGCTATGTGTGTGGCTAACTTTTTGAATTAAAAGGGAGTAATAAGTGAGTTCATAAGTATGAAAATTGTTAAGGATTTGCAGATTTGTGCTAAGTAACAATTGCTTCTCATAATCGAATAACCTGATTTTTAGATATATACATGTTATAAAACTTAAAATTCACTCAGAAGGATTTTTCTTAAAAATGAATCTGGAACTTCTCAGGAATGCTTGATATTTGAATGTGGAGGATGGTGACAAAGTTTACTAAAGGCTGTATAGTATCAGGACATTAATTCACTTAGTAAATACTTACTAAATATTTACTATAAGTAAGGTGCTAGGTTAGGCCAGGCATTAAAAGGGTGACCAAGACTTTTTTCCTATTTTCGAGAAGCTTGTAGAGTAGTGAGGGAGATATAAATGCAAATAAAGAATCTGGTAATTTATGGTAGGTGCTCAGAAGTAGAAAAGATTTTAAAAAATATAAAAAGATAGGAGAGAATTCACTTTGGCTGAAGCTCGGTAAATTCGGGCTTTTATGAAAGATGACAATTATAGTAAACTAATGCTGGTTATTAAATGCTGTGACAATTCCAGAACATGGGTAAAGTGATCTTATAGCTTGAGATAAACCCTGACATGTACGATGATATTTTAAAAATACAGAAAATTTTAGGGATAACAATAATATGTAAATAAAGTTTCAGGTTCCTAATATTTCTCTGCTTCAAGTTCATGGGTGGCAGAAGCTTTTTATTAAGATATCTACAAACTCCTTGGAATGGTAGGTAGCAAAGTATCTCTATAAGCTGAAGAGCATTTTTGTGAGTAAAGGGTCCACAGCTTAAATCAGAGACCCAAAATGGTTTATAATTTATAAAAGATTAAGAATTCTTAAGCTACAGAAATTGGCTGTTCACCTAAAATTTCACTATTGCAAGTTAAGTACTAATTTCAGTAATTAATTTAAAGTTTTAAGAACAAATGCTCTGGTGCAGGGGTTCTCAAACTTTTTAAATAGGGGGCCAGTTCACTGTACCTCAGACCGTTGGAGGGCCGGAGTGTGGGGCCCCGGGAAGAGTCACCTTCTAAGCAGGATAGGCAGCGGTGGCAAAAACACCTGGCGGGCCGCATGTGGCCTGGCCGTAGTTTGAGGACGCCTGCTCTGGAGGGTGGAGTACATAGAGTTGCAGTAATTGATAAATCTTTTAATAGGTCAAGGTTTCTGCTACTTCTGAGCTGTTTTCCCTAAATCCCCAAAGACAACATAATTAGGCCTTTTATTTTTTACTGTTATATTTTTTGATGAATAATAATAAGATAGGAATCTATAGCTTGATTTACTGTCTAGCAAGTGTGGGACTACAAACCATTTTCCTTCTCCTGATACTTAAGAAAAAATAATTTTCCTATATTTCTCACCTTTAAAATAGTCTCACTGTATTGCAGTTACAAATTAATTTTATTATTGCATTAACCTGTTATTAGAAGTCATATGTTTGCTATTTTCCTTCTGTTTCTTTTTATAGTTGAGCATAGGTCATTTAAATTTTTCACCATAAAGGGATATCCTATTTTGTTATATTTTTACTAAACCTTTGGGTAAAGTTCTGATTTAGTTAATGTTCAACCTTACAATTAAATTAAAACTAACCGTAGGATATCAGGAAAATAGACAATAACATTATTAATGTACTTAGAAGCATTATTGAAATTATGGTCCACCTGGATTTGTTAAAACACCACAAACCTCGGGCTTTAAGAGTTGCCCATGAATGTGGTTCACCAGTAAAAAAATGCCAGTAATGTTAGTCATGGGGAAAAAATGCGACGATATACTGGAGCAAATGAAATTTCACTCTGCGTCAGTGACAAGTTTGCCAGATGGATTTTTCTTTTTAAACAACTGTATCTGAAGACCATCCTTTCAGGGATCATTTCTGTAGCTGGTTACTCGAGAAGCCTCTCTGAATGGGTAGAGCTCCGGAAACCACGAGGCGGCAGCGCAGCGTTCACACCTGAGCATAAAGCGGCTCTTGGTGTCGCTTTACTGCAGTTACCATTTCCCATTGATGATCATTCTTCTTTTCCTTTGGGGGAGTAAGAGGGAGAAAATAAATAAATAAAAACTATATCTGAATCAGATGATAGGGGTAATTTAAGAGAGACCCGGCCTGGCACGGCAGAACAGTACAGTCTTCAAGGCCTCCGAGTACTGGCTGGCTGTGTGGCTTTGGGGAGTTTGCCTTCTCTCTCTGGGAATCAGATTCTTCATGAGTAAACATAAAACCTGGATTTCTGTGATGATTACTAACACTGCACGGAAAGTATTCTAGTGTTTTACACGGACTGGTGATTAGTAAAGTTATCAGTATTGATTGTCATGCAGAAGGAAACAGTTCTGCTGATTAAAATGAATACAATGCCCCATGCTGAAAAGTATATGAAAACGTCATTAATTTTTGTCTTGACTGTGATTTTGTCATCTATAAAATGAAATTATTAAAGTTTTAATAGCCCATCCCACTCTAATATCCATACTTTTGGAAAAAACAAATATGTGTCTGTATTAGAAATGGGTTTTTTTTACTTAATTTGGATCAATGATTTGGACCAATGAGGTATCCTTGACCAGACATTAAGAAAGTATATTGTTTAGGTAGGTTAAAACAAATGATATGATACAAATAATCATAATTATCTAACTAAATGTGTTTTAAAAATTGTTGTTTACAGATGCCTTAACCCAATTTCCTACTATAGAAAAACAATAATCTTTCTCCATTGTGCCATTCTTAAAATATAGCAGCTTTAGAACTTAGGCTGTTTCGTGCCTGAGAATGTATAACCTGAGAATGTTCTCTGACAAAATAAGATAGGTATTAAATGTCAGAAGCCACAGGAGGAAAAACAACTTTTACTTTTAAGTGACTATTGAATATCAGATATATTTGATTCTTGCTATTATTCTTTTTTTAATCCCGGACACAAATGCTCCAGGGATGTTTTATTTAGCATGAGTCCCTCAAGGAAATGGGCTGAACCTTTGAATGTGAGTGTGAACCTCATAAGGTGAGTAGCAATCTTATCAAGCCATCTTGACAATGTGGTGTTTCTCATCTCGAGAGACTTTACTTAAAGTAAGGAAATAGGGATCACATGATACAGCCATTTCAATCAGTGTGACTGACAGAAGCATAGGTTTATTATTAATTATTTTGGCAACCAATTTGGATACTGAATTCATTAATACAGTATGAATTACTTCCCAAGCAAGAGGTGACTTTGTTGCAGAAAAGTTTCCTCCTTTTTCCTCTCTCATAATTTTGATTAATGTATTCATGTATTTATAACTAACTCTATTTCATTTCAAAATAGATGTTGAATCAGTAATTTTCTTTATGAAATGAATGGTTTAAATAGGAATGATTATGGAAACGTTACGAATTACTAAATAGAAAGTGATTCTCTCTTTGCTGAGGGAAATTTCTGAGGAGAAAACCTAAAGAAATAGTATATTAGGATGTTTCATTTTGGTCTATCCTGATTTATTTTTTGGTCTTAAAAACAGGCAAATATATTTTAATAAGGGAAGTGAGGTGACATTATTTGAGGAACAGGGCAGTTAACTTAGGTGTTCATTACATTATCAGGAAAAACTGACTTGAACTGACTTATTTCAAATGATCAATATCATACATGTCCAGAGTTCTGAGTTTAAAAGATCAACAAGGTGAGAGTGGGAACCAACAGAATCTTGGTCAAACCCATAGGGCCAGTGGTTCTCAACCTTCCTAAGGCCATGGCCCTTTAGTACAGTTCCTAAGGGTTGCAACCCACAGGTTGAGAATTGCTGCCATAGGGTAACCATCTATTTTTTTCTTTTCTTTTTATTGTTTTTTTTACTTGCAAGCATATCTCCTAGAGTTTTGGGTCCCCTTCTCCAGTCTAAGTTGCCTGATCTCTAAACCCTTGGCACATCTGCCTTCTAGGAATGCCCGTTTTCTGATCCTAGGAATTAATTTGTCCTTTCACTGTTATATATAATTTTTTTTCTTCTTTTTTTCATCTCAAGTTTTGCCTTTTGTTGCTGTCTTGACTTGGTGACTCATTTTCCTAATGGTTTCCTAGGGCACAGTGTTCTGAAGGTAAAAAATGACTCTATCCTAGTACACAATTGTTATTTTGGCTAGGAATAAAATTCTGCCAGTATCATTTCCATGTAATTTTAATGGCACTGTACTACTGATTTTAAACTTCCAAAGTTGCAGTTGAAAAGACTGATAACCTTCTAATACTTAATATTTTGTATATTATAGGATTGTTTTTCTTTCCAGAAATTTTGATTCTCTAGTATTCTGAAATATCAAGATGATGCTTTTTAGTTTGAGTATATTGGTTTTAATTTGTTTTATTGTCCTCAATGGGCCTTTTCAATCTGGAGACAAATACTTTTTAGTTTTAGAAAAGTCACTTAATGTTATTTCTTCCTTTAATCTCCTTTTTCTGTGCTCTTTCTTTTAAGTTATGAAATAGTCTAATGTTTGTCCTCCTGGATAGGTAGACATATTATTTTATTTGTCTCTAGTTTTCTTCTGCCTCTTCACTTGTTGACTCCAATGTTTTTAAAGGCTCGTATAATTATTATATTTGGGGCTCATTTAAGTAATCTTATTTTATAGTCAGCTGCTTAGTAATCCTATTTGATCAGCAACGTTGCTTCATAGTAGTGCCCAGACTAATGTTTTGTGAAATAACTATAGAGTGAGAATCTTAGGGGGGCATGATTGGAGATATGTTCCCGTGGTGCCTGTATTTATCTATATTTCATTGCTATTCATCATCTGGCCAGTGGAGACTTCCCAGACTTCCTACAATATGATTTTTCTAGATCAATTGTTCTCCAATTTTGGTATGTGTCAGAAAATCCTAAAGGACTAATTTGGGAATCAGGGGCCCAAATTCTTAAAGTAGCTTAGGGCCTGGGCCTTCATATTTTTACCAAGTTCTCTGGGTGATTCTTGTGCTCATTGAAGTTTTCTCAACCTTGGTTGAATAATAAAAGTAGTTAGGGAGCTTTTAATATCACAATGCATAGGATACATCCAAATCAATTAAATCAGAGTCTGGGGTGGTGGTGGTGGTGGTTGGGTAATCCATGTATCAATATCTTCCAAAGTTCTAAAGTGATTCAGTTTTCTAGATCACTGCTTCTCAAATGGTAATCCATATACGAATGACCTGAGAGCCTTGTTAAAATGCAGGCTGTGATTCAGTTGGGTTTTGGTGGGGACTGAGATACTGCACTTCTATCATGCCATGCTGCTGGCCCACAGGCCACACTTCGATTAGCAAGACTGTAGCCCATTTTAACATTCTTATATTACCTTGAAAGTATGTCAGAAACATTGCTAGGGTTTCCACAAATATTTCCTTTGCAGTAAGGTTGAAAATTTCATGTGTCAAATTATAGCCCCAACATTAAAAGATCTCAGAAGACTTGGTTTAAAATTTGGACAAAACTTAGTGGTGACATAAGTTTAATTGCATTGCGTACAGGGATGGGGCGTGTGTATTCAAACAGTTCACACACTTTTTCTTTTTTCTTTTTTTTTATTTGAATATCTTCTAACACCTGGGAAAGTACCTTATAGTATTTGGTTTCAAAATAATCATACCCTATAATATGTAGCCTATCATTGAAAACATAGAAATTTTCCTATTGCTCTGTAGTCTGTTGATTTTAAGATTATTCCTTGTGATCGCTCACACTTAGCTGTCCAGATGTCATAATAGGTACCATTTGTACTAAGACAAGGATGCAAGTTAGAAAACTTCTTCTAGGTTGTTAAAGCTATATTTACAAATCCAAGCTGATTAAAATGCTGTGTGAATGCTTTATGAACATTCATTATTAAACAATACTTTGTTGAGGTACCCTAAGGCAGAGGGATGTCCAAAGGTGAAAGAAACACATTCCTTAAAATGCTGAATAACTGTTGAAGAATAGAATATTTGACATAAAATAACATTTTTTGGAAGGCTGTGGGAGAGATTAGGAGGAACTTATAAGGTCTAGCAAAGTCAGAGGAAATGGCAATTGAGCTGGACTTTGATATAGGAAAGATCTGGACCAATGGATTTCTTTGGATAAAGGTAAAAAGAAGGGGAAAATACATGAAACTCTAATTTATAAGAAATAGTCAGCAGTGTAATTCCATAAAGGACACGGAATGGAAGAGAAACAGTAAAAGATGTTTGGAGCCAGATCATTGACAAACTTTGAATGGCAGTCTTAAAGAGCTTGGAATTTATTTGCCAGGCAGTTGGGACAATAATGAAACACTTTGAACAGGGAACTGACACAATCTGATTAGCTTGTGATGTGCTTTAGAAAGATCACCTTCACCATGGTAGAGAGGGTGGATTGTGGCAGCGCCATAGGGCTGAGTTCACTGATCCAACGCAGAACTCCTTCCTACTGAGCCTGAAGGTGTTCTCAGAATCTTTCTCAAGGTAACACTCTGGACTTATACTAGCATAAAAACAATTTGCCATTCTGGAGCAGGAGGCAGGTGAGACACATTAGGAAATTAATATAATGTAAGAGTAAAGATCTAAGGAGGCCATTCATGGTACCGTCAACATACCACAATCAAATGCCAGAAGAGTTCAGTACAAATCGCCTTACACATGAAGACCTGTGATTCAAATGATTTTACAGATTGTCCAGACAAAAGAAAGCCTGTGAACAATGTGATGTTTCTCTTTAAGTACGTGTGAAATACTTTGACGTGTACTTCACGTGGATTCGATTCATGCATGGAGGATTCGATTTGTGTTGGCCATTTTAGCTAAAATTAAAACAGGGGTCAAAAGATGATTTGAAAATGTAGTGAGAAAAGTAAAGTCCTGAGGGAACTGTATAAGGGTTTACACCAATTCATTTCTAATTTGTTTGAATTGTTGCACAGGTATGTACTTCTTTAGTCAGAAAAACAATAAAGCCATATGAAAAATGAAAGTGAGGAGTAAGAGTAAGTCATTAAAAAGACATTGGCAAAATAGATTATGGAACAGAGTAGATTATACAGTAAATAACAGGACAAAATGTCATCTTGTAC